GAAATTGGTTTACTGTATGACGAACTATCATCTCGCACTGCATGACTATCACAATACATCAATGCAATGAACACCGCTGCTACTGAAGCCAAGGATGCAGCAATGGTGAAACTAAAGGTGATAATCGGTGTGTTAGTATTGCTAGCTTCTCTTACCATTAAGATGTCTGAATAATGAAAAAAACTGGTCATCATCGTAGATTTCTCATGTGCTAACCGGCTAAACTGATCTTTATGGTGATTCTTGAAATTGAATTCCTGCATAGTTCTAAAAGGCTTTTTGAATTTTCCAATCATCTCACGCTAGCAGATGTTAGTTATATGAAAAGACCAGTATTTGCTGTGCTCTACCTGCGCTTATGGCCTTAATCATAAAACTTATCGTTGCGTGTCAAACAAGTTCATCGGTTTTGACAAGTTGCTGATGACGCACAGCAGCTAGTGATGCACTGATTCTGACTTTTTGACTTGAAATAGTCGAAATTGATAGGCATTGGAACTGATGTGAGGATTCGTTAAGAGGAGACCCACACCCTTGGAATGAAGATGGAGAGTATAAATGTATAGTTAATGATGGTGCAAAAACAAGTGCAACATTAATTGTGAAAGTTAAATTATTATTTGAATTTGATTATATATTTATTTAAATAAATGATTTAGCTATACCTCTAACATTTATAAAACTTCTTTCAGAACGTCTTTGTAATATTGATAAGCCTGTTGAATTTATTTGTGAAGCATTAAAACCATGTCGTGTTGAATGGTTGTTAAGTGATTAACGTCTTTCACCACAACGAATTGATATTGAAACAATTAATAATCAACATATACTTCGAATATCAAACGTTAAATTGTGCGATAAAGGATGCTATAAATGTGCTGTACAAGATGCATTTACAGAAGCAGAATTAACTGTTATTGATAAAATAATTTTATGTTAATTAAAAGAAAAATAAAACAAAAGAAAATTTTTCTTTTAGATAAACCAGTTGAATTAATTGAACCATTAGAAGATGTTAATGTTCAAGAAAATGAAAATGCAGCACCCATTTATTGGAAAAAATATGGCTTTTTTTATTTTTAATGTGAAATATGCTTCATTCTAATCATAGTATTAGTAAAAAGATAAGAACAAAAAAAGAATTTTGTTTATTTTAATCATGCCATTGAGTACCAAACGTATAGGAAACGAAAGAATATACATCAGATAATTCTTCAATCCGTTTAATTGTTGGTTTATCCGCATCTAAAAGAGAAAAATGCATGGGTTGATAACGTTTTTTAGTTTGACATCGAATTCTTTTAGATCTGATGCCTAATATGAATTCACCCGCAAAGAATTAACATTGGTATCTATACGAACAGAATGTTCAAATGTAACTAAAGAGAATTTTATCATTTATTTGTCGTTTGTTCGAAATGAATAAATATAAAAGAAATTAAATTAATCATACGCATTACTTTATTACGTAAGCAGACAATGTGAGCTTAAATTATGAGATAATATTCTAGGTGATAGATGTTGGTCAAGGTTTATTTCATTGTTTTATGTTCATGAAGTTATATCAAGTCTGACGATGATGTTTAACACAAGATCGAAAATTCACTTAATTCATTTAATATTTATTCATTTACAACAAACAACAAATGATAAAATTTATCTTTAACTGAATTTGAACATTTTCTTCGTATAGTAATTAAAAATGCGCATAATAATTCATTTTATATATATTAATTTCTTCCTTTTTTTCTTACATATTTATTTTCTCACAAAGTGTATAACAAAAAGATGACAATTCTATCAATAACATCACAAAAAAAATACAACCAAGAAATTTCTATATACTCTATTCGCGATAACAAAAACAGCGATTAGATTTTTGTCCTAATATTACATTGACATGCAAAAAAATGTCTATATATTTTCGTTTGTAGCCTTAGTTACTTCAATTTTTTGCTTTTTGTAAGGTGGTGGTGATGGTGAATTCGATGAATCATCTCGAATAATTCTATCTTCACAAGTCTTCTTCAATTTTTCTTTAAGTTCTTCCATTTCTTTGTTTAATTTGTCTGTGTAATCAC